TTTATGCAACAAAGTGGGCTTTTAGATAAAAGTTGCAACTACATTTCATGTTGTTTTAACCATCGAAACCTGGGTGTATAATTCGTGTTGATAAATATTTATCTAGAATACTTTCTCATATTTTATCATATTCCCTTCATTTTTATCGTTACATAAATTGGTAAAAAGATAAAACATTGATGCATAAATTGGTAAAAATATGAAATGTTAGATGCATAAATTGGTAAAGAAAATGAAACATGGTTGCATAAATAAGCATTTAACCTATTTTATTTTCATTTATTTAGTGCGCAATTAGCATAGTTTCTTATTTATTTTTGTACTGGGTTTTCTATTGATTAATCATTGATGTCAAAAGTAAGTTAAAGGCTATGCTTGTACATAAGTCCTGAATTTTAGTTAATTTTGTCTCATTATATACTAAATACTTGGCTATTGATTTCTAATTTATATCATATTGTTTTTGTTGTTATCTGATTTGCTTAATTGCTTCACTATAATCTAATCTGCTTATTTGCTTCACTGTAATATAGCATACTTATAAATTAATTATTCATTAACTTTGTAATATGTGGAAATAATAGAGTTGAATATTGTTACTCGCCTCTTCCATTGTTTGTTCTTTGTTGAATCTTAGATAACAATGATTTCTTTTTTTTTTAATTTATTTTTCTTTGATATGATCCCTTTTGGGTAAATAATAATTTTTATAATTGCATTTTTATACATCGACTTATGAAATTCAAAAAGAAATTGAACAAAAAAAGGTCAACCTAGACACCTCCTCGTAACCGTTCTTAAAACTAGTGTTATACCCGTCCGGTGGACGGTTGACCAGTGTAATAAAAAAAATATTGATTTTACTTTGTTATAGATTTGACATTATTATTTTTTATTATTGAAATTAATAGACAAAATATATTCTATTTCAAAACAGTTAAAAAGAATTACAATATTCATAAGCAAGAAAATAAAACACCACAAAAAAATTGACAACATGCATTCTTGCCACCTTCTACCCAATTCGAGTTTATTTCTATAAACGCTTCACAATCTACTCAATGACACCCTTTTGGTCACAACCCACAGATGTGTAAAACCAACCCTCTCTTTGGACCATTTTACCCCTAATGCTAGAATAGTTAAATTTTATCTATGAAAAGTTTTATATGATCAATATGCTACTCATTTAAAACTATGAAGCTATGAAGCTTCAATCTGTTAGGAATCGGACCGGATACACGCAGCGGAAACACACTGTCACACACTCGCAAACTCACGAAAAATAAAGCAATAAAGAACACAAGGATTTTACGTGGTTCGGATTCGGTGTAAATCCTACGTCCACGGGCTGCAACTAGATTTTCTTATTAACTTAATAAGATTACAATTTATAACTCTACAAGTTATATTTGATGCACACATTCTCTGCTACACAACACACACACACACACACACACACACACACACACACACACATATATATATATATATATATATATATATATATATAGGAGATGTGCCGTAAACTTTTCTTGATTCACACAAATTTGCCGTCCATATTGACAAAATTGCCGCAATTGAGAAAAAGGAGTCATCATTTAATAATTTAATATTTCTTGCCGTCCATTGTTTGACCATTGTTTGACCATGCAAAAGATGCGTAATAAACAATTGATTTGCCGACATGTACTCCATTCAATATTAAACAATTGAATTGTTTAATATTTGTCAAGTTACATTTATGGCCCTTGAATTCTTAGGAACTTGTCAATTTGTTCAAGACTCCATAAATCTTAACAATCTCCCACTTGGAGGCTTGAACAACTTTAGCTTTTCTCCGCCATTCAACTCTCAATTATTCCAGTAATCTTAAAAAAAACCAAGTCCTTTTAGGCTTCCAGTTCCAATGAACAAGCTAAAACTTAGTCTGATTTCTCTAGTTGCAGCCGCCCCTCATCATCAATTACTAGAAGGGCCAGTTGAAGCTCCCACTAGCTCCAACTCAGCCGTGGCTAATCCCACCACCGACTCATCCTCTGTCTCAACCGGTTTGGACACTCCACCAGATCCAGAGATACACCGAGGACCACTAACACTCTCCCAACTTTGCAAACATTCAACAGGAGAGAATTTTTCAGTCTTAGTCTTCAAAACCCAACGGCTCTTTGTAACTGTACCCGAAACACGTCCCGTGCACCCACTGTCACAGAATCCCCTGAATGGTTTAGACTTTCGAACTCGTTCAGCTAACATCCCTTTGGCTTCAGACTTCATGTTTGCAAAATGAAGTCTCTTAGCACTAGATTTAGCGAACCAGATTTTGTCTTGCTTAACAGGGACGGTCATACTTCCCTCAGCAGGTACCTCAACCATATACAATGACCCACACTTCATACCATGAGCAATCACCGAATTACCATTGACCACCATCCATTTACCACCACCAAACCTTACTTCTAGTCCTTGTTTATCCAGCTGACCAACAGAAATCAATTTCTTTTTCAGCTCCAGAATCACCTTGATATTTTTCAGGTTCCATGTAGTTCCCAATGAAGTAACCAGATCAATATCTCCCATGCCCGTTACCTGAAGCATCTCGTCATTTGCCAACCGTACCTTCCCAAAATCTCCTTCTTTTAGATTCACCATCGTTTCCCCGTTGTCCATGGCGTGAAACGAAGCCCCTGAATCCATGACCCAAGAGTCTATAGAACTTTCCATACTGAGTATCAATGCATCATCCTCAGACACACTCTCAGCACCAGCAATGTTCAATTCTTTCTTTGGACATTGACTCTTAACATGTCCCACTTCTTGACAGTTCCAGCATTTCACATTCTTCAAAGTTCTAGAAGAACTTTTCCCCGACTCCCACTGCTCCTGCTATTCCCTCTACCTCTTCCGACATTTAATAAATCAGAAGAGGAAGATCCACCTTGATTCTTGCGTCTGATATCCTCGCCTAGAACCAAATCTCTAACCCCTTCAAAAGTCATACCACTGGTCCCCACGGAACTCGTAACAGCAGTAACTGTTCCGGACCAGCTATCAGGTAGAGAAGCTAGTAGCAGCGAAGCTTGAGTCTCATTATCAAATTTAATTCCCACAGATGATAATCTGGACAGAATCGAATTTAGATTATTAATGTGAACCGTAACTGAGCCTTCCTCATTCATCCTTGTAGTGAACAACTCCTTCATCAAGAACACCTTGTTAGCCGCCGATGGTTTCTCATACATATTTGACAGAGCCTCCATCATACCACGCGCCGTGGTTTCATTCATGATGTTGAAAGCAACGCTCTTCGTCAATGACAATGTAATAACCGCCTTGGCTTTCTTGTCCTTTGAGTTCCACGCATCTTCAAAAGCTTTTTCCATTTTCTCTGGTTTGTCTCCGAGTACCATGTCCAAGTCTTTCTGACATAGCAATGCTTCTAATTGCATTTTCCACCAGCTAAAATCAGAACCATTGAACCTTTCGATTATAATCTTGTCTTCAGCCATTACGACAAACAAGATACAAATCAGGTACACTCGTGCGTGATAAAAAAAACGATCGTACCCTCCAAACCTCGCTAACCAGTCTCTGATACCAGTTGTTAGGAATCGGACCGGGTACACGCAGCGGAAACACACTGTCACACACACTCGCAAACTCACGAAAAATAAAGCAATAAAGAACACAAGGATTTTACGTGGTTCGGATTCGGTGTAAATCCTACGTCCACGGGCTGCAACTAGATTTTCTTATTAACTTAATAAGATTACAATTTATAACTCTACAAGTTATATTTGATGCACACATTCTCTGCTACACAACACACACACACACACACACATATATATATATATATATATATATATATATATATATATATATATATATATATATATATATATATATATATATATATATATATATATATAGGAGATGTGCCGTAAACTTTTCTTGATTCACACAAATTTGCCGTCCATATTGACAAAATTGCCGCAATTGAGAAAAAAGAGCCATCATTTAATAATTTAATATTTCTTGCCGTCCATTGTTTGACCATGCAAAAGATGCGTCCAAATAATAAACAATTGATTTGCCGACATGTACGTCCATTCAATATTAAACAATTGAATTGTTTAATATTTGTCAAGTTACATTTATGGCCCTTGAATTCTTAGGAACTTGTCAATTTGTTCAAGACTCCATAAATCTTAACACAATCGACTACTTAAGGTTGCATCGAGGTGTTTCTTATGGAGCATATTCAATCAAGATTCAAGAGGTCAACATGACGGTGGCCAAAATGTCACTATAATTCAAAATGTAAATTTGTAAAATAATCAAAATGGTTATTTTGTAGGCCTATTTTTAAAATGCCAAAAAGGTCCAAATGTAAAAATGTGAAAATGGTCCAAATGTAAGAATGTTGAAATGGTAAAAATGTCAAAATGGTTAAATATTCAAGTTTGAGAAAAATGTGAAAATGGTCAAAATGGTCATTTTTTACAACAACCAGGCAAAATAAAGATACACAACAAAAAAGCTTACAGATAGTTTTTCAGGGGCCATTAGGGTTGAATTTCTAATAGAGGAATAAATTTTTATTTTTAGAAAGTTTGAAGTTGAATTTGTTTTATTCCCCGTATTTGCAATAATACAAAATTAAAAATTAAGGGCGCTGATCCCATTTTTTGCTTTCTACCTTTAAAATCTTTTAGAATATTCATAATTACTCCGGGTATCCATGTATCATAAATCACAATTCACAAGATCATCAAAATTGTCATTTTCAAATTATTAGATGTGTATGCCAACTACAAATCAAAGAAGACCATCTTAGTGAGTTTTTTTTTTTTTTTAAATGACATTCAATGATTATAAAGATTAAACACATTGAAATACTTTATAAACCATTATCCATACAAAAACTTTCATAAACCGTAATCTATATAAAAAAAACTTCTTTGAAACTTACCCATGAGAAAAAACACTTCAAATGCTTATTTTCCCCCTTCAACCATCAGCTCCTCTTGCTGAGTTGCATCAATTGACTACACAATACAAAGTTACCGTTAAAAGGTATGATGGGAAAATGTACCTTCTTAATTGATGACTTGCATGCTTGCTTCTGAGCAGTTTAAAACACACACACACACAAGGAAAATTTTGCAAATAACTTACAACTTATATTCATCGTTTTAATTTTTTCTTAAAGATCATAGCGAATTATTATCCTTGTTTTGAATATTAGCCATTCAATTTTTTTATTTTCAAAAAAGCATTTACTAATTCATAAACGATTAATAGGTTAACCAAATAACCAAAAACAGAAAAATAGGTTAACCGAAAACTGATTAACCGAGTTTTTCGGTTTAGGTTTAAGAAATTATCGAACCGATCGTTTCGGGAAGTTCAGTTCAGTTAACCATCCACGAACACCCCTAGACCCAATTGTCTTCTCAAAAGCTAGCTTAGATTGTTTATTGATCTCAACACATCTAACCAATCTGTTAATTATTAAGATTGCAAATCACTTTTATTAAACGGGTAATTATTTTATAACAAATTTTCAAGCATGGTAAAAAATTTATTCACCATCAACTTTGTTATTTTGGTATCATTTAAACCTGATTAAGTTTTTTTTTTCATCTAAATTTGAAAGATTCAAAAGAAAACATGATCACGACTCAACCTTAAAATTAAATAATTCAATTTGAGAAAAAGAAAGGTCATTTACAAAGATGTCATTGATACCGATTCATAGTTTATACAATAAATGTTATCTTTTTTATTGTGACAAATAGATATTAAAAAAAATTACTAAAAATATCATTTTAACTTTATCCAATAAACGTTATATTTTTTTTATTGTGATAAATATATATTAAAATAAAAAAAATTACTACAAATATCATTTAACTCTAGTGAATTAAACTTGACATATTAAAACATCCAAATACAAATAAGAACCACAATGTTCTTCAGCACTATAGTAGACTTTGATAAAGATGTTTGTTTTAATTTCTCTAGTAAAAAATTGACCTGGAAGAAAGTAGATGATGTGGGTGGAAATTCATAAAAGTTATATTTGAAAAACAACTAAATTTAAGTAGCAAAATTGAATCTTTAAAAGCCAAAAATAAGCCAACTAATAATCTATGTCATCATACTACGTGCCAAGTAGAAAATCCACAATATGTAATGACAATAAACCAAATATGTATCAACAAAAGGCAACCGTAAGCCACACTACAAACTTAGTAATAAAAATAATAGTGTCTAGAACCTTAAGTATTTATAGTTTCATTTCTTCCTATTACAATATTGTAATGAAAAAAAAACTAAGATGCTATAATACACTATAAATGAAAGTAGAACCCTATTTAGAGCACTCATCCCATTAAAAAAGTACAAGAAAGTACAATGCTATATGTTGCATTATGCAAAAAAATAATAATAATAATAATAATAATAATAAATAAATAAATAAATAAATAAGATGGTGTTTTGACTTAAATGGTAGATAAATTGACATAAAATTTTAGTTTAGTGGCTAAATTCCTAAAATGGTAAAAGTATTTCATGTTTTTTCTTTTCATTTTGGCCTATAATCCGTAAAAATGCATGATGGTTTAATCCCTATAGAAAAGAGTCAAGTATGTAAATTGATAAAAATGGAATGTGTATTCTAATAATGTATATATTTTAAATGAAAAAATTAATAATTAAAATTACAAAGATAAAGGGGAACACAACCTTTGTCCAATGCACAATACCTTCATGTGATTATTTTTTAACGCAACAGGTGGGATTCTAACCTGTAAAACCACAAAGAAAGTAAATAATTAGAGTAATTGTGTCATAATTTTGATGATTGTAAACGGGCTTTCAATGCATTTGTATATTAAGATGTTTTGGTGTTCACTTAAAACCTTTAGATAAAAACAAAATGATTAATATCTCCATATTTTTTTTTGCAAAGGCACCTGCTAGACGCCCACAAACAGCACCATCCACATTATATATCTTGAAGGTTTTATTTACAACTTTTTCATTTTCAATTGCATTTGATATCTGTACACAGAAAAAGAATAAAAAAAATCTTGAAAACAGGAATTGTTCTAAAGAAAGAATTACTGAATTACCTCAACATCAGAAAGCAAAATGTCATCAAGAACAGGGTCGTTACTATGAGCCTCCTGCTTTCTGATGGTGGTGTTGCTCCATTTTGGGAAGCCAACATTCTGAAAATGAAAATTTAAAGATTACTAAAAGAAATTCAAACAAAACAAAACAAAAATGCAGTTTTGAAACTGTAAAGAGACATACAGAAAGCATATAGCTAAGATCAAGATGTTGAGTTTTGACTAAAAAGATATTTGGAGGTCTTAATAGCTCTGTGTGTCCAATAATGTCATCAAGCTTTTCATATCCCAGTTGCGTGTTTCTAAATTGTAAATACAACATAAATTTAGTATTTTATAATAATAATAATAATAAACACACATGTTTTCAATGTTTGTAAATAACAGAGAAATTATAATAATTGACTGCAGATAGAAGCAATCCATTCAATAAATTGGTGCCCTGTTGATACTTATCTTAAGGTCCTGTTTGTTAACCTCTTATTGCCACTTAATAAGAGGCAAGTCTGAATCTTTATGATTAAGAGTGTTTGTTTACATATTATTTTAGCATCTTAATCTGAAAAATATCACTTATTCGGTCAGACTTCTCGTCACATCTGAAAAAGAAAAAAAAGATGCCTTCCCTTTTTGCCCTAACCCAGTTCCTTCCCCGGTTCTCTTTTTGCATCCAACGAACACCAGTCTACACCCCTCCCTCTCTTCTTCCTGCATCTCCGACGTCTCAGAAGCACCAGTTCCCACCGCCCACAGCCGGCCACCGTCGATTGAGCAGGGGAGAAAATCGACTCCTGCACACCATCGTCTCCGCCTTCTGTTCTTGGTAATCATTTTCATAAATTGGTGTTCTTTTTTCGATTTTCTTCTTGAAATAGCCGCCCTCTAGCCCCCATCTACTCTAATCGGAATTGCGGGTAAAAAAATAGGACAAGAACATGGATACTCTTCTTCTCCTTCTTGCCCTTGTACTATGTTTTTAATCAAAGAGACGGATCAACAAGGATTTATGTGATGGAGATGATGGATGGAATTAATGATGGCAATTTTTGTATATGGTGGTTTAGTAGAGGCAATCAACCAAAATCCACACTTTCTTTGCTTCAATTTGATGGCAGGTGGATGAATAAGGTTGGGGAATAGAACTTGTGTTATAACATCAAAGTCTTTTAATAGGTATTTGTGGTAGTTTACAGGTCATATTAATTGCATATTGAAATCAACAATCTTGGAGCAAATGGATATTGACAATCAAATTGGTAAACCCATGGTCAAGGGGTCAACATTGGATTCCAAGATCATACTTTGGAGCTGAGTTTGATCTTTTTTCTTTTTTTTGTTACTTATATTACTATCAAATCATGAATTTTTTAAACTTTTGGAAGTTACTTGATAGAATTAAATAACGAGATGAAACTGATAGGCATGGTTTGATTTGGATTTGTGTTTACTTTTGAATTTAACAAAAAATTATATATAAGGGTAAAATGGTCGTTTTTACAATTCAGCACAACAATTCAGATCCAACCAAACAACATGTTAAAATTCAGATCTTAAAAATTCAGACCCTCTTAGAAATTCAAACATCTTAAAAATTCAAATCTTAAAAATTCAGATTCTGACAAACAGCCCCTTAGCAGCTGTTCTTTTAAGCATTGGGGAAGGATCTAGAAAAAGCTATGAAAGTGATAACCGTGATGAAATTGTTCTTTATGGAATTGTTCCAGTTTGGAATTCTTGTAGTGATGGATATATCAATGAACTATTATTTTGTTGTCATTTTTTGTAACCAGCTTTACTCTTACTTGCACAATAGGTGATATAGGTAACATGGAGGACTTGAATAAAATAAAAATATTTTTAGCATGGAGATTACTAGATGTGAAAAGGTTACAAAATAACGGGAAATAAGCAAAACCTATAATTATGTATATAAAGAAAATTAAGTAACAAAAACTTATTTGGTTTAAAGCCGTTTGTGTTCAAGCAAGAATGTGGTCGAGAGAGTTCAAGTGGATATTGTAGATTAGAGTATTCATGGTCATGCATCTCAAACATAACCTTTTTGTTTTGTCATGAGCTTTCCACTATCTATATCAAACAAAAACATATTAACTCAAAACCTTTCAAATCATTGACCATTTTGAAAAACTTTTCTTTTATAATTAACTAATATATCCTAACCTATATGAAATATATCATAAAACTTCCTCATCTAAATTTGTCATTTTTACACAAACCTTATTTATTTAAAATGAAATATTTCACACTTTTACAATTAAATTGAATAATTTTTTTTTTGAAAATGCAAAAGATGATAAATTCTTACATACATAAAAATATCAAAAATATCTATTCTTAATAAAAGAGTCTTTTAAACGGACACGTGTCATCTTTTAAGCATTCTCTTTGCCACGTGTAACTTCGCTTTTGTGTTTTCCCGCTCAAACATATCTTTAGAATCGGCTTCTTATTTTGTATTTCCTATCAATCCCATAAAATTAGCAATCAAGATGAACTTAATCACTAAAATCACGCCAAATTACTAGAGATAAGCGTATATGAGTCAACTTCTTCACTTGATTGTTGATTCAAAGTTTGAAAACCCTAAAAATATACCCACTATTTTCATGAAATCTTCCTAAGATTTTCGTATGTCTCTTATCTATGGAAGCTTCTCTGTCTCGCACACCGTATCTTCTTGCTTCACTCCGAAAACTAGAAAACCCTGGACGCTGGTTTTTGCTTCATTATCTCGCAATTGGTATGTAGTTTTTGTGCCTTTTTATGTTGGTATCTTTATTCTCAAAACATTGGTTGAATGGTTAAGCATTTTTACTTGCTGATAAAGTGAGACCATTTTATTTATTATAGTGTTTTTATGACCGAAATTGCAAAAGAGCAGAACAGGTTTTAAGGTTCTACCATTTTTATTAATTATTATGTTTTGATTTTGTGTATTTTAGCCCTAATAGTTCTGATTTGTTCTTTATACTACATTTTTTATATTCTTTGGCTATGGAAGTCTTCTGACAGACATGGAATTATACTATTCATTGAAGCCAATGGAATATTCAAGAAATCAGATAATTGTTTGTTCCATAAATTGCTAAGATCAGATAAAGTACTCATGTTTATATTCAAGAAAAATGTAGCATTGAAACTGCAACATGAAGTTCAAGATGATTAATTTTGACTTAAGGAGTATTTTGTACTTATACTTCAAATTCTGATGAAGGGTAGTGGTGTCTATGGAGATTGCAGAGTATAGAGTGGATGAAGGGGATGTCGAATTTGTTATTAGTAGTAGCTTATACAGGGGCAGAACGGGGCATCGCAGGTGAGCTATATTGTATCTTAATAAATTAAGATTTTTTTTGCCAAATGTCATCTTGTCCTTTATTTGGACCATTTTTCCCCTATGTGATGATGATTATCTCTCAAATATAATGTTTTCTATACATTTATGGGTTAAAATTTGACAAGAGATATAGAAATTCAAGTGAGAAAGGTACCTTTTGTGTTGTTTTCATTGAAAAATGTCAAAAAAAAAACTTGCAATTCTATGTTTTGTTCAATATTTAGTATTAAAATGATGTTGGAACATGTAAATCTCACAATATATAAAAAAATTACAAGTTTAAAAAATTTATTAACAAATTATTTTTAGAACCTACAAAACAAGCATTTACAGCATATGTATACATTCAGTGACATTAAAAAGGTCCTAATTAAGCTGCTTTAGATGACAAGGGAGAATTTCGTATACGTCCTTGTTAAACGTTAAAATATCGTATTTGTCCAGTTTATAATCTAAATATCATATATACCCTTCTTAATCATTTAAAATATCATATCTGCCTAAATATATTTTTTTAGTATCTTTTAATATTTATAATCAGTTTTTCTGTTTTGAAATCATTAAAATTAAAAAGAAAATTTTAATTGACCATATTGCCCTTAGCCTCTCAACTACAGGAACTAAATTGTTATGCCCAAATGCTAAGTTAATAATTTATTTACTTCTAGGTTTATGAAGAACCTTGGCTGGCATCATATATGAAGTGATGTTGAGTTTTATTATCACTAACAGTTTGACACATTTCCTCAAAGAGCAACACAAATATCAATACATTTAAATTACATTAGAAATTTTTTTCTATTTTGATTATATGTTCTTAGTTCAAACATAATTGTGAATTGAACGATGTTTTTTTAGAGATGAAAAGAATGATAACAATGGGATTTGAAGGATCAGTCAACAAGATCGATGTTGGTATAGTGATTATAGATGGCAAAATCTTATCAAACCCAAGACACACCTACATTACCAGGCGAAGGATTCATCCCTCATGAAATTGTCCAACATCATCTACAAGATATCCTTCCCCTAATAAAAGAAGCTTTAGTTCACAAAGAATGTTTAATAAACAAAGAAATACCAGCTGATTGGAACAAGAAAGATGCCGAAAAGGCTATAAAAAAATTTGAGGTTAAGAAGAGTTCATCGCAGCAGGTAAGGGCATAAGGTTAATTTAGTTCCTGCACTTTAGAAGGTAAGGGCAAACTCGTCCATTTACTTATTCTTTTAATTTTAATAATTCCAAAACAGAAAAACTAATTATAAAATATTATAAAAAATACCAAAAACATATATTTGGGCAAATATGATATTTAAAGGATTAAGAAGGGTAAATATGATATTTATGTTTTAAGTTGGGTAAATATTATATTTTGACGACTAATGTAATGCAATGTAGGAAATACAGGGGAATTAGGAACAATTTAATATCTTTTCTTAATGTACTGTAATCATGAGAGTCGGGAACAACTTAAAATCATTTCAATCCAAAATGACCATTCTAACCCTACACCCAAAATCCAAAAAATAAAATAAATAAATAAACCACTACTGTAAATATATATATACATATTTTTTAATTATTTTCATTTTCGTTTTTATTTTTAAACATGACATGTTTTGTAAAAAAGAATAGATTTTGTTATTTTACTGTGTGTGAGTGTGTAGGCCTTCCTTTCAAGGTGTAGATGATGGTTATGAGTTTGAATAGTATCCACCTAAGTTCTAATTGTTTTTTTACGACTAATGTAATGCAATGTAGGAAATACAGGGGAATTAGGAACAATTTAATATCTTTTCTTAATGTACTGTAATCATGAGAGTCGGGAACAACTTAAAATCATTTCAATCCAAAATGACCATTCTAACCCTACACCCAAAATCCAAAAAATAAAATAAATAAATAAACCACTACTGTAAATATATATATACATATTTTTTAATTATTTTCATTTTCGTTTTTATTTTTAAACATGACATGTTTTGTAAAAAAGAATAGATTTTGTTATTTTACTGTGTGTGAGTGTGTAGGCCTTCCTTTCAAGGTGTAGATGATGGTTATGAGTTTGAATAGTATCCACCTAAGTTCTAATTGTTTTTTTACATTTTCAAAACCATGATTTTTTTGCCACTTTAAATATTATGGACTATAGAGGTAACATTTTGTTATTTACCAAATATTTAGTTTCTAAGTTTGTATATTAACTGTTTCATGAAATGATTATTTGCTTTTTTACTGAACCTTTTTAACTATTGTTGCATCTCTTTTCAACTATTATAGTTGGTTCCACAATTACCAAATTAGGATGGAGATGTAGCCGGAGAAGAGGATCTATCAATTCCTAAGAAGAAATTTTAGCTACTAAATCAGTTGATTTAAATTATAAAATAAGTTGTTGGGAGTCCAAAAATAAAAATACGACTTAACACCATCTATGTTACTACTGCTATATTACCAACACATGTTATTATATACTAATTTTTTAATTAAGTTTCATAACTTACTACTAAAATTTAAAAAGTTAAACTAAAATTAGTATTATTATATTTTTATTATGTTTATTAAGGATTCATATATCAAGACAAATCAATAATATTTGCGTTGTTAAAACATCTATATTTATAATTATTTTTTATTATTGATCAATAATTACATTATAATTTAATTAAAATTATTTTTACATTTCTAATCTGTGGTGTCCACGGGTTATAACCTAGTTATATTATAATTAAAAGTATAACATTTATTAAAAGAAATGATTCAGACAACAAAATGCATTGTTTTCAATGGTAAAAAACTAATTTTGAAATGAATTCTAAATATTCAATCTCTCTCATCGTTTCATTGAAAATATTCATAGATGATCAAAATCCAAATATAACCACTAATTTTTTTTTTAATCATTCGT